CCTTCCCCTCCCCTCCCCTCCCTCTCCCTCTCCACCCCCCTCCCCTTCCCTCTCCACCCTACCCTCCCCTTCCCTCTCCACCTCCCCTCCCTTCCCTCCTTCCACCCTCCCCTCCCCTTCCGTCTCCACTCTCCCCTCCCCTTCCCTCTCCACCCTCCCCTCCCCTTCCTCTTCCACCCTCCCCTCCTCCTTCCCTCCCTCCCCTTCCCCTCCACCCTTCCCTTCCCTCTCCACCTCCCCTTCCCTTCCCTCTCCACCCTCCCCTCCCCCTCTTCCACCTCCCTCCCCTTCCCTCCCCCCCTCCCCTCCCCTTCCCCCTCCACCCTCCACTCCCCTTCCTCTCCCTCCCCTCCCCTCCCCCCTCCCCTTCCCCTTCCCCCTCCCCCTCCCCTCCCCTTCCCTCTCCACCTTCCCCTTCCCTTCCCCCTCCCCCTCCCCCCTCCTTCCCTTCCACCCTCCCCCTTCCCTTCTCTCCACCCTCCCTTCCCCTTCCCTTCCCCTCCCTCCCCCCTTCCCTCCACCCTTCCCCTTCCCTCTCCACCTTCCCCTTCCCCTCCCCTTACCCTCCCTCCCTTCCCTTCCCCTCCCCCTTCCCCTTCCCCTTCCCTCCCTTCCACCTCTTCCCCTTCCCCTCCACCCCTCCTTCCCCTTCCCCTTCCCCTTCCCCCACCACCCTCCCCTCCCACCTAGAGCGCGCGACCAAGCGAGCGAGCGAGCGAGCGAGTGAGCGACCGAGCAAGCAAGTAATCCCGTGTCAGAGAACGTCCAAGCACAAAGACCCGCTTGTCTTATCAGATAAAGACGCGAGGTGAGAACGACGCGTGAGGCTTGGGGGGGGGAGGCATGGAGGAGGGGAAGGGGGGGTGACACTGTCGCGACACTCGGACTGCAGGCACTGAGGGGGCGAGGGAGTGGGGAGGGAGGGGAAAAGAGAGAGGGGAAGGGGACAGCGAAAGGGAGGGGGAAGAAGAGGGAGAGGGAGAGGGAGGGAGGGTGACAGGGAGAAGAAGGGGAGGGAAAGGGAGAGACAGATGGATAGGGAGGGGAAGAGGGAGTAAGGAGAAGGAAAGGCAGAAGGAGAGGGAGTAAGGAGAAGGAAAGGCAGAAGGAGAGGGAGACGGAGGAGAGGGCGAGAGAAGAATAAGACAAGAGAGGGGATAAGGCAAGAGATATATATTTAGACAGGAGTAGGATGTGGGAGAGGAAAAGAAAGGAAGAGGAGATGGAAGAGGAGGGGAGTGGAGTGGGAAGAAGAGGTGGGGGAGAGGGAGGAAGAGGCGGAGGGAGAGGAGGAAAAGGGAGAGGGAGGAAAGGGATTGAGAGAGGGAAAGAGAGAGAAAGGGAGGTAGGGAGAGGGAGAGGGAGAGGGAGAGGGAGAGGGAGAGGGAGAGGGAGAGAGAGGAGGGAGAGAGCAGAGATAAAGAAAACGAGAAAATAAATAGAAAAAAATGAGAGTAGAGAGAAGACAAAAGAGAAGGAGAGAGAAGAGAAAGAGAGAGAGAGAGAGAGAGAGAGAGAGAGAGAGAGAGAGAGAGAGAGAGAGAGAGAGAGAGAGAGAGAGAGAGAGAGAGAGAGAGAGAGAGAGAGAGAGAGAGAGAGACAGAGAGGAGAGAGAGAGAGAGAGAGAGAGAGGAGGAGAGAGAGAGAGAGAGAGAGAGAGAGAGAGAGAGAGAGAGAGAGAGAGAGAGAGAGAGAGAGAGAGAGAGAGAGAGAGAGAGAGAGAGAGAGAGAGGAGAGAGAGAGAGAGAGAGAGAGAGAGAGAGAGAGGAGAGAGAGAGAGAGAGAAGAGAGAGAGGAGAGAGAGGAGAGGAGAGGAGAGGAGAGGAGAGGGAGGAGAGGAAGAGAGAGAGGAGAGGAGAGAGGAGAGGAGAGGAGAGGAGAGGAGAGGAGGAGAGAGAGAGAGGAGAGGAGAGGAGAGGAAAGTGAGAGAAAGAGAGAAGTGAGAAAAAGGAGAGTAAGAAGAAGAGAAAGGAAGAGAACGAAAAAGAAAAGAGGAGACATATATCAAGAAAGGGAACGAGAGAGTAGGAAAAAGATGACGGGGTAGAAGTAGACAAAGAGAGCGAGAGAAAGAGATAGCGACGTGAGAGAGAGAGAGAGAGCGGTAATACGGTCCCATAACAGGAGATGAGGTAACGGGAACTGTGACATCGCAAAAGCAGTAATAAAAATATATAGAGAGAAGCGAAAAAAAAAAAAAATTACGAGAGGAAGGAAAGAGAAACCCCTACCCCCATCCCCCAACCCCCACCCCGTCTCCCCCAATCCAAAAGCGAAAGATGGCGCGAGATGGGGGTTGGAGGAAGGAGGTGGGAGGGGGGGGTGGGGGGTCGAGAGAGACAGCTGGTGACGGACAAAGCGCCTGGCGTCGAGCAGGAGCGGAATGAGGCAGCGAGCAAGAGCAAAGAGACAGTGACCAAGGGAAGTGAGCCTCTTGTAATGAGCAAAAGGCAGAGAGTAAGAGATAGTAAGCAAGAGAGTGAGCAAGAGATAGTAAGAGACAGAGAGAAAAGATAGTAAGCAAGAGAGTGAGCAAGAGATAGTAAGCAAGAGACAGAGAGCAAGAGGCAGGGAGAGAGAGCAGGGAGGGGAGGGAGGGGGGGGCGTGGGAGGGACACCGAGCCATGACAAGCACCCGATCCCCAAAACAAAAACATGGACGCAACTTGCAATCAGATGGAAATCGATTAGTGGCCGCGACCCAATCCAAACACTCCGCGACGGATAATATTTCGACCTCGTCAACGGGTCCGCAGTCGGTGCAGCTGTTTGTCTTTGTGTGTCGGTGTCTGTCTGTCTATGTCCCTCTGTCGTCTGTCTCTCTGTCTGTGCTTCTGTCTATGTCTCCCTGCCTGTCTATGCCTCCCTGCCTGTCTGTGTCTCATTATTTATCCGTCTGTCTCTGTGTATCTTTCTGCCTGTCAAACCGTCGGTGATCTGCGCGTGCCTGCTTCTGTCCCTTGTTTATACACACTTGCCTGTCTGTACCTCCGACTCTGAAGTATGTCTCTGCATGGCTGTGTGCGTGTACATGCATCTGTTGGTTTCTCCGTTCGCCTGGCTATTTATTCATTAAACTTCAAAATCAGAAATCGGATAGCCATCTATCAGTACATCACAAACACACAACACACACACACACACACACACACACACACACACACACACACACACACACACACACACACACACACACACACACACACACACACACACACACACACACACACACACACACACAGAGGACCTCAGAGCCTGACCTTCCCCCTGCAGCCACCTCCCCCCCCTCCCTCTGTTCCCCCAACTCCCCTTTATCACTTCCTTCTCCCCCTGTGCCCCAATGCTCCCCCTCCTCAACCACCAACACTCCCCCCCCTCCATCCTTAACGCCCCCTCTCCCTCCCCCTCCCCACTTACTATCCTCCACCAGCCCTCGTCTCCCCTCCCCTCCCACCCACCCCTTTTCAACCCCTCTTCCTCCCCCTCCTCCCTTCTCCCTCCCCGTCCCCCGTCCCCACCCCGCCCCCAACGAACAGCCAGACATTACAGGATCAACGCTTAGGACACTGATTGCTTAAGAGGACTGCTTCCTCGGCTACAAGGGCGAGGCGGCCAACATCCATCCCCGGCATTTCCTGTCAAAATAATACACCTGCCGAGGGGAACGTCGCGCCAGCCGCCGCCCCCTTCGGTCTCGGCCCACGCACGCCCACCGCCCGCGTCGTCAAGAGGAGGAGGGGCGGGGGGGGGAGGAAGGTTAGCAGGAGGAGGGAAGGATGTAGGTAAGAGGAAAGAGGGAAGGGAAAGGGAGAGAGAAAGAGGAGGAGGAAGAGGGAAGGGGGGGAGGAGGAGGAGGGAAGGGGAGAGGAGGAGGAGGGAAGGGGGGAGAAGGAGGGAAGGGGAGAGGAGGAGGAGGGAAGGGAGAGGGAGGAGAGGGAGGGGAGAGGAGGAGGAGGGAAGGGGGGAAGGAGGAGGAGGGAGGAGGAAGGGGAGGAGGGGGAGGAGGAGGAGGGAAGGGGGGAGGAGGAGGAGGAAGGGGAGGAGGAGGAGGGAGGGGGGGAGGAGGAGGAGGAGGAGGAGGAGGAGGAAGGAGGAGGAGGAGGAGGAGGAGGAGGAGGAGGAGGGAGGAGGAGGAGGAGGAGGAGGAGGAGTAAGAGGAGGAGGAGGAGGGAGAGGAGTAAGAGGAGGAGGGAGGAGCAGGAGGAAGGGAGGAGGAGGAGGAGAAGGAGGATGAGGGGCAACAGGAGTAGAATAGGATGAGGGGGAGAAAAAGAACGGTGGTAACTGAGGAGGAGTGAGGACAACGAGAAGGAAATGTGCAAAAGAAACCGAGAAGAACATGTGCAAGAATGAAACAAAGAAGAGGAAGTGGAGGGTGAGGGTGAACAGAGGAAAATCTAGACAAAAGGAACAAGAGAACAGATAATAAACCTTGCACAACAGAGAAGCGACGAAGAGGGAAGACGCCGACAGACGACGGGGTGCCAGCGGGCCCTCGGGCGGCCCAAACGCAGGACCCGTAAACGCTCCTTATTCACCCCCCCCCCCTCCCCCACCCCTGGTTGCCCGCCCGCGCGCGAGGCACGGCGCGGTGGCAGCGAGGGAGGGCCCAGTTGACACCAGCAGGAACGGCTGCCTTAATGAGGGCATCGTATCGCAGTGCACGGGATAGCGGCGGTGCAGTGCTGGGGTGGAGGTGCTCGCGCCTACACTCTCCCTCGCGCGCTCCTGGCTCCCTCGCCGCCGCGCCCGCCCTCGCTCCCTCGCCCTGCCGCCCTCGGCCCATCATGAGAGCAGCGACGGCCGCGAATTGTGGTACACGCGGTAAATGTTGTGCTGTGGCGCCGTGGTGTGCGCACGCCGGTGGTGTTCTTACTGTGATGTTTTGTGCGGTGATGTAGTGTGGGCCTGGGTCATGTGGACTGTGGCGGTGACCCCGTGCAGACGGTCACTCATTTAACGTCGAGGCTCAAATTGCTATGCTCATTGTGTCAGCCTTGTGTACTGCCACGTTTTTGTGGCGCTCGAGTCATGCACGCGGTAGCAACTGTTGTGTTGAGAGTATGTTACACGTTGACCTCTGACCCCGGGGTAACGCACTGTGTTGACCCTGAACCTGAGACATGAGCCCTGAAAAAGAGCCTTTTTATCCCCACGTAAGCCCCTCGAACTGGTGACCTTTCCGCGCGGGGCATTCGCAGCAGTGACCTTCGTCGCGACGGCCGAGTGTTAAGACCTCTGTGCTTCCCTAAATGTCCAAGGGGTGTGTCCACGTATTGACACACGGGGGAGAAAAACAGGCCCAAGCGAGGCCTAGGCAGCGGCCCAAACAAATGCCAAACGGCACAGCCCTCGGCGGCGCAGCTCATGCAAAAGCGATCTGGCCAGACACGAGCCCCAACACCAAAAAATCGATGACGATACCATCATGATCTGTGCGCTAATGCGCTGCCTTGCCGAGAGGGGCTCGCCATGCCGCCTTGTGTATGCGCTCGCTCGCCCCTGGACGTGCCGCACTCGCAACAGCCCTCGCACCTTGATCTGCGTGGCGTCGGGGGCGAGGGGGCGACGCAGGTACTCTCGTCTGTGATTCTTCGCTCATGGTTGGAAGGGGAGGGAAGGGGGAGGGATGGGGGAGGGAAGAGGGGGAGGGATGGGGGGAGGGGAAGAGGGAGGGATGGGTGGGAGGGAAGAGGGAGGGATGGGGAGAGGGAAAGGGGGAAGGGGGGGGAGGGAGAGGGTGCAGTGAAGGAGGGGGGGGGGAGAAGGAAGAAGGAGGGAAGAGGAGAGAAAGACGGAGAAGAGGAGGGAAAGATGGGGGGAAAGGGGAAGCAAGAGAGAGCAAATGGAGGGCGAAGGATAAGGAGGGAAGAGGAGTTAGTGAAGAAGAGAAGGATGAGGGGAAAGGGGAAGGAGGGAGGAAAGGAGGGAGTGAAAGTACGGCAAAAATAAAAGTGGAGGGAGAAAAGGAAGGGAACCGCGAAGAGACAGACGGGGGGAGAGGACAGAGACAGGGGGAAGAGGAGGGGCGACAGAGAACGTCCTGTGATGTGGGCGGTTAAGATGTATGGCGGTTAACCTTTGTATGGTGGCCTTGGCGTCCGAGACGACGTGCTCCCGGGTTCTTCTGCGCCGCCTCCTTGCGCCCTCCTCCTGATCGGCCGAACAATTACGTTCCCATGACCTGGTTATTTCCTCTTTCCCGTTCTGGTGATGATTCCGTAATGACATGTCGTCTCTTCTCCGCTGTTCATTTTTTACGCGTAACTCATCTTCCCTTTCGCCGTACCGAATGACACCGACACCCAGTTGATCAAATTACCCGAAGCTTTTTATCTTTACTTACTTCCTACTACCTAACTTTTCTTCTTATTGTTATTATTATTTGTATTTTTTTCTTTTTCTTCCTCCTTCTCCTCCTAATCCCGTTTCTGAATTATTATTATTATTCCTTTTTCTTCTTCTTCTTCTTCTAATTTTTCTTTTTTTTCTTCGTCCCGTTACTGAATTATTATTATTTATTATTATTATTATTATTATTATTATTTTATTATTATTATTATTATTTTATTATTATTATTATTATTATTATTATTATTATTATTATTATTATTATTATTCTATTATATTTATTATTATCATTATTATTATATTATTCATTATTATTATTATTATTATTTATTATTATTATATTATTTTATTTTCATTATATTATTATTATTATTATTATTATTATTATTTATTATCACTATTTTCTTCCTCTCCTCTTCCTCCCGTTACTGAATTCTTTCTTTTTCTTCTCCTCCTCTTTCCCCGTAACTGAATTCTTCTGTTCTTCTCCTCCTCTTCCCCCCGTTCCTGAATTCCTCCCCTCCCTGTTCTATAAGAAGAAGGGGTGTTCAGTGTTCGATTCGAATGCGTGCACCGCCCTCTCCTCGTGACCTTATCTCTCCATTCAGTCTCTCCGAACTTGTCAAGGTCTGACTGACCCCAACAGTCGCTCCGCTGCCCTCGGCGCGTGCAAGTGATAATTCGCTGAGCCAAACAGGTACCCGTTCTTGCGCATATATATTTTCTTTTTTTTGGGGGGGGGGGGGGAGAGGTTTCCATCCCGCCCCATGAGTCACTTAGCGTCTCTCTCTCTCTCTCTCTCTCTCTCTCTCTCTCTCTCTCTCTCTCTCTCTCTCTCTCTCTCTCTCTCTCTCTCTCTCTCTCTCTTCTTCTCTCTCTCTGTCTGTTTGTTGTCTGTTTGTTGTCTGTTTGTGTTGTTCTGTCTGTCTGTGTCTGTCTGTCTGTTCTGTCTCTGTCTGTCTGTCTGTCTGGTCTGTCTTTCCGCGATCCTGTGACCGCCACACATCACCAACCCAAATATCGCCAAATAACCCCCTACCCCCACCCCTTCCTAACCTCCGATACCTCGATAATTACCTTAATCAACACCGCCTTCCCATCCCCTCCCCCCCTCCCCCCCCACCACCTCCGCGACCCCGCAACGCCCTCGACCTCCGACGCCCCCGCCCCCCCCTCGCCGTCGTCGCTCCCTTTCCTCGGGTCGCGCTGAGGCTGTGCCGTCGAGCGGGTTTTTGATCACATGAGCGTTTCTTTCTTTCTTTCTTTCTTTTTTTCTATCTTTCTATCTTTCTCTCTCTCTTCTCTTTTTCTCTCTATATCTCTTCTCTTTTTCTCTTCTTTCTCTTTCTCTTTCTCTTTCCATCTATCTCTCTTTCTATCTATCTCTATCTCTATCTCATCTATCTCTCTCTCTCTCTGTTCAAATTCCAACTTTTCCACTTCCTTTTAGGTAGCTGAGGGATGTGGAAAAGCTTAAGTCACCGCCGAATTATCGTTGAAAAGAAAAAAAAGAAAAAAAAGAAAAGAAAATAAAATAAAAAGAAAGAGAATAAAATAAAAAAAAGAAAGAAAAAGAAAGGAAAAGACCCTCGTGTGACCTCCCCTTTCTGCTCGCTGTGGTGGCTGGCCGGCTGCCGCAATTACACAATGCATTCTGTAGCGCCATTTACGGAAAAAAAATACAAACACATATTCTCCTACTGTCCAGGTAATGCAAACTGGTCCTAAACCGTTTCTGGACTGCTCATCACAACATACATATCCGTATACATATATGCATATGCACGCAGGTATGCGCGTGAGTGCGTGTGTATGAGCGAGTGGGAGTGGGAGTTTACATATGTATGTGGATGTGGATGTGGATGTGTGTACGTGTACGTGTGCGCGTGTGTGCAACAACAAAAACAAAAATGACCACAATCACATCAATAATAAAACAATATCCACTGGAATAACAATGCAAGACGTAAAAGAAAAAAAAATACGGAAACGGACAAGCCAGGCCACCCCCCTTCCCTTCCCCTTCCTCTCCTCCTCCTCCTCCTCCTCCTCCTCCTCCTCCTCCTCCTTCTCTTCTCCTCTCCTCCTCCTCCTCCTCCTCCTCCTCCTCCTCCTCCTCCTCCTTCTCCTTCTCCTTCTCCTCCTCCTCCTCCTCCTCCTCCTCCTCTCCTTCTCCTTCTCCTTCTCCTTCTCCTTCTCCTTCTCCTTCTCTTCTCTTCTCTTCTCTTCTCTTTCTCCTCTCTCTTTCTCTTTCTCCTTCTCCTTCTCCATTGTCCTCGGCGTGACAAATCGAAGAAACCAATGCCAATGCCACGCCAAAACAGGAGGCGAGAGTACACACACTGTGCCATGTTGTACACAAATGGGCATCATTTTTGTTTGTTTGTTTTTTTTGTTTGTCTTTTGTTTGTTTTCTTTATTTCGTACTAGAATATGGACGGGATTGGAGTGGAGTGAGGTGGGGGTATAGTTAGGAAGGTGGGGGGGGGTAAGAAGTGGGAATGGAAGTGGCGTTAGGACTGAGCGTGGGAGTGAGGGAGTGAGAGTGAGGATATGGGGGGGGGGAGGAGGAGGCACGAGTGGGAGTGAGATGGGAAAGGGGAAGGTAGTGGGAGTGGGAGTGAGTTTTACGTAGAAAACATGGATAGGGGCGAGGATAAAAGTGCTGATGAGGGTTAATGTTAGTGGTTGTGAAGGGGTTGAGACTGAAAGTTAGGAGTGGGAGTGGGAGTGGGAGGGGAGGTTGGATTGGGAGTGGGTGTGGAGTAGAAATGAGGGAGTGGATGTAGAGTGGGAGGGAAGGTAGGAGGAGTGGGTAGTAGGGAGAAGAGGAGTAGAAAATAGGAGAGGGAGTAAAGGTAGGAGTGTGAGAGGGAGTGAAAGTAGGACTGTGAGAGGGAGTGGAGGCAGGAGTGGGAGAGGGAGTGGAGGAAGGAACAGAGAGGGAGTGGAGAAGGAGTGGGAGTAGAAATGGTAGTGGAAGTAAAAATGGGAGAGGGAGTGAAAGTAGGAATGGAAGAGGGAGTGAAGGTAGGAGTGGGAGAGGGATTAGAGGCAGGAGTGGGAGTAGAAATAGAACTGGAAGTAGGAGTTGGAATGGCAGCTTAAAATAAGTTTCGAACGAGAGTAAAAAAACGTGAGCTTGGGAGAGACCTAACGAACGAGATAGAGAGAGAATCTCACTCCCCCCCCCCCAAATTCACACGTAAAGAAGACGAAATATAACGAAGGAACAGAAGCCAGAGGTTAATTAAAGGACGGAGGAGGAGGAAGAGGAGGGAACGCACGGTGCGACAGACGACCAGAGACGACCTCCAGGGAACGTGCCCAGCATCAACCATCCGCAGAGTGTGTACATGTGACGCGCGTGTTCACTGCCACGGAGGACCTTACCGACAGGACATTGCGAAACACTACTTAATAGTCACCGCGTCTTGGGGTGGGGGTGGATGGGGAGGGGGGGGGCTAGAAGAAGGAGACGAAGGAGGAGAAGGAAAGAGGGAGAGGGGGAGAGGAGGAAAGGAAGGAAAGGGAGAGGGAGGGATGGTTGGGAGAGGGAGAGGGAGGGAGGGATGGGGAGAGGGAGAGGGAGGGATGGTAGGGAGAGGGAGAGGGCGGGATGGTAAGGAAAGGGAGACGGAGAGGAAGGGAGTGTGAGAGGCGACGAGAAGAAAGGAAAGGCGTGGAGAGGGAGGGAGAAAGGAAAATTAAGAAGGGCGAGGGGAGGGGAAGGGAGGGGAGGGGGAGAGTGAGAGAGCGTGAGAGTGAGATGCGTGAGAGTGAGAGAGTGTGTGAGAGTGAGAGAGTGTGTGAGAGAGAGAGAGAGAGAGAGAGAGAGAGAGAGAGAGAGAGAGAGAGAGAGAGAGAGAGAGAGAGAGAGAGAGAGAGAGAGAGAGAGAGAGAGAGAGAGAGAAAGAGAGAAAGAAAGAGAGAAAGAGAGAAAGAAAGAGAGAAAGAGAGAAAGAAAGAGAGAAAGAGAGAGAGAGAGAGAGAGAGAGGAGAGAGAGAGAGAGAGAGAGAGAAGAGAGAGAGAGAGAGAGAGAGAGAGAGAGAAGAGAGAGAGAGAGAGGTGGAAGAGGGACAGAAGAACAGAAGACTACAGAGGAGGGGGAGTAAAAGGAGGAGATAACGTATATTAAAAAAGAACAGGAGAGGGAAGAGGAACAGTAAAAAGAAAGGGAAAAGAAGGAAAGGGAGCGGTAAAGAGGTATGGGCATGGACTGAAACAAAGGAAATGATAAGGCTAAAGAAATGGAAGAAAGGAAGGGAAAGAAAAGTGAAGAGAAGGGTGTGAAGGATGTGGAAAAAGAAACGGAGGAGAAAGGGGTATGGAGAAGAAGAACGAGAGGAAGGGGAAGGATGAGTCCGAAGATGAGAATGGAAGGGAGGCAAAGCGAGAAGCGGGGAGAGCACGAGAGACGCGAACGGCGATTAAGCCAAAACCTGAAGTGTATCTAAGATACAGTGACTCATGGTCATGCCGTTACGAGCGCGCCGCACATCCACGTTCGCTTGGGTTTCCCAGTTTCGCCGTCGCTAAGATCCCCGCACCAATTCCAATGTGTATTAACCGCGAAATTCACGCTAATTAGCCTTCTTGGTACGTGGCAGCGGCGCCCAAGCCCGCACGCGACACGGGCGGAGCGGCTGTGGGTGTTTTATTATGTCTGGAACGCCGCGCGCATGGCTGCCGCAACTCACTCTTGTCTCTGTTGATTTGCAGGAAGGAAGTGGTCCGTGAGCTGCGCGGCGCCGAGTTGCAGAGCAGATTGCCGATAAGCGAGTGGAAAAATACCGATAAGCCTCCCCGTGGTATGCGGGGCTTCGTGACGCAACGCCTCACCGGAATTCAATGGACACAGGAAAGGCGTCACGCGTTTAACAAAACGCACGAACGTCGCCTCGTCACTCCGTCCCTGAACAGCGACGGTGACGGACCACCTTCGCTCGAAAACGTTTGTGTCAAGACTCTTTCTGAAGACTGAGGGAAAGAGAGAAAGAAAAAAGTGGAAAAGTGTTTGCGAGAAGAGAGTCGCCTCTTGCCCCGAGCGGACAGAGGCCGTGTTGGTTTCAAGGTCGTGAGAGCGGGCCCTTCGCCATGCGGGGGCGGCACGTGTCCCTTGCGGTGCCCGTGTACTTGACGGCGCTGCTGTGGTGCGCGGGCGCCATGAGCAGCCGCAGCACGGAGGACTTCACGTCGTCGCTGATCTGGGCGCCTCTCTACCTCAAGTCGCCCTACGTCACCTTCATGAACGACTTCCAGAAGCCGACGTGGCGCACGCGGCACCCGATCACCAAGGAGCCCGAGCAGCTGCGCGACCTGCGCCTGCCCCGCGGCGTGCCCTTCGCCGTCATCTGCGGCGCCTGCTTCCAGCGCTCCATCGTGGCCACCAACCTCACCATCAGCGTCTCGGGCCACGAGTTCCAGACCGTGCCTAAGAAGCGCAAGAACAACAAGTACGAGTACAACGTCAGCCACAACGAGTGCCTCATGACGTACTTGATCACGGCGCCGATCGAGAGCGACGGCCGCGTCACGTGCACGCTGCACCGCGGCTCGCACCGCACGGTGGAGGAGATCTCGTTCCGCGCCGTGGACGCCGAGGTGAGCGCGCCGCCCGAGGAGCTCGAGGACGACAAGAGCCCGCCCATGCTGGAGCTGCACTGCCCCCAGCCGGAGGTGCTGCCCACCAGCGACAACCCCGTGGTGCGCGTGTGGCACGAGGACGCGCACGACAAGGGCAGCCAGGTCGTGGGCAGCCCGCTGTCCACCATGCGCCCCTCGCTCACGCTGTCGCGCCCCAAGCACACGCGGCACGTGGCCTGCTCCGTGTACCACATCGCGGCGCCGCACAAGGTGTACCAGACGCGGTACACGGTGCGCGGGACGCAGGCCGTCGTCAAGAAGGACTTCCGCGTGTCGGGCGAGCGGCTGGAGCTGGAGGAGGACGCCGAGGAGCTGGCGCCGCGCATCTCGCTGCCCAACTCCGTGCTGGGCATCATCATCACGGCCGTGGCGGTGTGCCTGCTGCTCACCGTCATCGGCCTCTACCGCTTCGTCTCGGCAGCCCGGCGGCGCTGATGGCGGCGCTGAAGGCGGCCCAGCGCCGCGTCGCTCATACGGCTCGTGTACAGTCTTTATTGCTCAGATTTCTGAGTGGATCCGTGTAGCTACGTTTGTACAGTGTTCGTCTTTCAAATCTTTTGTAAAAAAATATATATAAAAATAATTATGTTTCCCCTTTGCATGCACATCTCTCACACTTCATTCATACAAATAATTTATTTTGATATGAATCTGCGACTTTGTATCTGCTTCAAAGATATATTTTATGACGCAAACCTGTTCATCGACTTGTCTTCTTCTACGGATGTTATGTTTAAGCCGACGGAGTTGCTAAGCAACAATTGGCAACGTGAAAGGGGTTACCAAGTAACGGCAGAAGTTGTTAATAAAAGTGTACAATACATGACTAACGTTGTTTTCATCCGCACGCAACTTGTTTACGAAAAGAAAAAGAATGCCAGAGGTATTGCGCAAATTCGACAATGCGAAGGCACAGCGCATAAGCAATTACATCAATATATCAACAGGAGAGATGTTGACAATGTGATGATAATATGAAACGAAGAATGAAAGTATAATGCTCATGAGGTGATATAGAATAATAAGATGAAAAAAACAACGAGAACAAGGATTACGGAAAAAAAAATATTTATCATGAAAACGATGCAGCAACTGATGATAATTTTAACAACCGCAACATCAATTGCAACAACAACACTAATAACATTGATAATGATAAATAAAAAAATAGTAGTTATGATGATAATATAATACAGTATCATAGCAGCAACGACAACAATAAGAATAGCTGCAAAATCAACAACAAAAACAACAACAATAAGAACTAATAATAATAATAACAATAATAATAATAGTAATAATAATGGTAATAATAATAGCAGTAATAATAATATTACTAAAACCACTACAATAACAACAATAACAATAACAATAATAATAATCATCATCATCATAATAATAATTACAACAACTACAAAAAGAACAATAATCATAACAAAAACACCAATCACAGCAACTGTAATGATAACAGTAGAAATAACAATGGCAATAAAAGCAACACCACAAATAACGGTATATCACTAAGTAGATACTTAACACAACAGCAAACCGTGATAAATAAGCAAATAGGACAAGTAAACAAAATTCTTATCTCCCGCGACCCTCAAGCTCACATCCGGGACCTCCTGCATTCCTGAGGATGTCGCCGGTGTCCGTATTGCACAATTCATGTTTATACAATTGCAGCCCTTATGGCCAGGGGTCCTTGAGGCGATAATTCCCGTCGCCATGACCGTGCCACGAGGGAATGGGGGCGACTGTGCTTATGGCGGCGATAAGAGCGAGTCAGGTACGTAAGGGAACAATATAAGTTGATGTTTTGCGAGTTCTATGCAGGTACGACTGAAATCTGATCTTGCCTTGATCTTGCCTTGATCTTGAACCTAATGTCTAGCCTTTGCCTTGATCTTGCAACCGAAATTTAACCTTGATCTTGTACTTGCCGTCTGATCTTGCCTTAACACGGTAGCAGAAAGTCTAATCTTGCTTTGATCTTATCCATAATCAACTCGGGATGACGAAAGGACGGAGTCTTAGCAAGCAGGTGCGCTGTTGAATAATTGCAACAATAGCCTCGCCGTCATGGTTATGCCTTGCAACACAGATTAGCACTTGCAAGAGGTAGTGTCACGCGGGGTAATCAAGCCAATGGCAGCCGCGGTGGTGACAACGCTGTCACGCAAACAAGCCCAATCAAGACCAATTAAAGAGCGCAATTAGCCAGCAACCTAATCATCCCCCGAAACCATCGCATAAAAATAATAATCCAAAGGAGAAGATGATTCATCCTTTGGGGATTCGGAAGTGGCGTGGCGACATCCAGCTCGAGAGAGTGCGCCTCACGCCCACGGGCAGGCACGCGGGCGGTTTCGGGGAATCAGTGATTTCAACGCATACAAGGAACCGTGGGAGGCGGAGGCGGGAGGCGGAGCCGGGAAATACGCAACGAAAATAAACGGATCATTGAAAGTTGGTTCTAGGAAAAATAACAATGATAATGGTAATACTATTAATTTTAGTAGTACTATTACAAGTAAATGGGAAAAAAATGAACAGTAGCAGTAATACGATGCCAATAACATAACATAACATAGCAAAAACAACAATAAAAATGATACCAATAATAATAAAAACAACAACAACAATAGCACTACCAATAACGTCAACAATACAAGAATATTTTGAAAATGCCCCTGGCCCTTCGTTGCGGCCTCTCGCTGACGGCCTACATAATAACACGCCAATATAGTTACGCATATGAGATCCAAATAGAAATGCGCGGTAATGGCACCTAAAAATGGCAACGTAAATACGATCCACACCAATTACTTGTGATTTCAATGGCGCACAACACGTCATCAATTGGCTATTGATGGAGGCCATTAAGCAGCGGTTGCCACCCACTTTAATCACCCTTCGCGTTATCCAGTCCATCCGCTGACCCGCTTCTAAAAGGCAAATAACGTTTTTTTTTTAATTCCTTGACACGAAAAATATCGAAA